AACAGACGTAGTTAGTGTGGTCCCAGTGAGAGAAGGGAGGGGCGCTTGCCTTGTAGACCAGGGTGCATGCTCTCCAGCTCTGTCAGAGGTTACCGCTGCTCTCGGTACATCATGGTGATGGCGATAGAATACCATATTTACTGCTGGAAAGAAATTCTCGTGTTAGTAGTAGAGGAATTTTAAGTGTTGGTAATGTATATATGCTGCAGATATATAAGATCGTTTTACGATTCTTTCTTTAAGTTGAGCCAACATTTATTGAGCATTCATCTCTGTGTGTTTTATTCTTGGACATTTAAATAAACATGAATGTTATCTGATTCTTGTTCTTCAGCAGATATTGGTTGTTATACGATTATCCATAATATGGAAAAAGAAAAGCTACACAATGATACAAAAGAAAGTTTTAGGAGAGGGAACAATTAATCTTGCTTACAGGGTATTATGGGGGATGCTAATAAAGGCATCACATTTGTTCATCGATTTCTTCTTCCAATAAACTTTTACTACATCTACTACACTTAGTACTGTGTTCCAAAATTGAGATGGTATGTAGTGTTTGAAGATGATACGACGTCTCTTCTCTTGTGCTTTAGATTTGGAGTTGATGGGCTGGGGGTAAGCCTAAAGAGATAATAATTGCACATAAAGGAAACCAAGAATTTTATTAGGCGGAAAGCTCTGATAAAGATGTAGTAGGCTGCTGTTGCAGAGAGTGTCTGCTGGAGGTGTTACCCTAGGATGGGTGGTCAGGAAGGACCTTTTCGAAGGGCTACACTTTAAGTGAAATGTGAAGTTAGAGCCTTCCCAGCAGAGAGCACATTCAGAGGTCCTCTGGGAAGTGGGTGTGAGCTTGGCATGTCCTGTTGCCGTGTGCCTGCAGTGACCTTGGGCATAGGGTTGGGGGCAAGTAGTATATGATTAAGAACTAAGATCCCCGATGATGCACTGTTTAGGAAATGGTCTTCATTTAGGCACATTATGGAATGGTGAGGAGGAGCCTGGGAAACTGGGTTGGAATCAGGTCGAGAAGAATCTCAAATGCTGTGCCTGCTACCTTTTATTCTGTACATAGGAGGATGCCAGCAAAGTTTATAACTCTTGTGAGGTTGTACATCCCTCAACGTGGATTTCAGGCTCTGGGTCGGGGGAGGGGGAACTGAGGGCAAGGGGATTAGCGTTGTTACAGCAACATGTATTGGTGAACTCCATCTACTTTCCCTGGCCTACTGCCTCATGCCACTTCCAGTTTCCTCCTCCCTAACCCACACTGCAGAACTCGCCTGCAAATGTGCCACTTAATCATGTTTTATTTTGTTAGACACATCCTTTCCCAGCTCCACAGCCTGTTTCTTCCTTTCTCTGTTCTTTTGTTCTGCGTATGCCCTGGTACACGCCCCCTACATCTCATCTCCCTGGTTATCAATTCAAATCATTTTCTAATTTCAGGTCTCAGTCTGAGGCCCCTGTCCTCTGGGGACCCTTTCTTGTTTATTCCATCTCTAGCTGGTCTTGTTTTTCATTGTGTTCCTACAGAACATTGGTGAATAAAGGGCAAATAGATGTATTTACCCTCTATCTAAATAAATGAATAAATAAATGTATATATATATATATATATATATGTATATAGCTAGAAGCTGCTTTATCTTGCCACTTCCATCTCCCAGAAAAAGAAACACAAAAGACTATAATAATACTGCATACTTCACGTCATCTAGTACCAGTTCAATGAGTTATTAGACCAAGGATGTATAGTTTCGTACTGATAATCTTTATTAAAATGACATGTATTTGATTCTATTGCCTTCTCTTTCATTCCTATATAGAAATAAGATAAAACTGAATGCTGGGGAGAGAGTGAGCTATACCTTTTCTAATATGAATGTTCCAGTTACTTTTGCATGTAATAATACATTGTTGTTTAATGTGGCGAATTAATTTTAAGAGATTTTTTTTTTTGCTACCATTTAGTCTAGTAGTTCATTCAGATCTTGGCTATAAGAATGTCAGCTTTTTAACTTTCTTAGAGTCACTGAGGATGTGATCCCAAATACAATCCATCAAATATGTTAAATGTTCAGAATATAGGTGTTTTCCGCTGGCAGGCGTCTAGAATATTTTTGGCTACTCTCTTCTTTTATTTCACTTAAATTACTTTTAGAACACTGGGCCTTATACATCTGGACTCCGACTAAAATGTGCCTTCGGCTCTTATCTATAATTCCCAGTCAGTGCCAGAATTAAAAGAACAAAGGCCTATATGTTCACTGCAGCCTTCAATTATGCTTAATTACCAACTTTTATACAGTTTCATTATACAGTACTGACTTTCTGTGAGAGGTTCTTTATATTCATGATGTCTTGGTAGTTGCTTATAAAAGTCCAAGATTAAAATTTTTCCTGAGGAATTTTCAGGAAACTTATAAGCTTTCTGAAGTAATTTTTGTAAAGTTGGATCAGAGCAATTTGATCATCCATTTTAACAGATGAGAAACAAGGTGTTTACGTTTCCTTGTGCTGCAGAACTCTGATAGGAAAGGTTAAGGGGTGCGTAGGATATTTTCTCAGATATCCCCCCCTCATTTCTTGGTCCTGGGGTCACTTGTATAATCAACTGTGAGCTTAAAACAAGAGCCTTTCCACTAATATTGTGGCACTTTCACCCTTTGTCCTCAGAGGAGAAAATAAGCGACCTTGATGTTCCATGTGAGACCTGTCAATCTTATAGTAATTCTCATGTTCTGCAAAATGACCGTCTTTCATTTCAGCGAATCCTTTATTCCCTTTCAAAACAATCATGACTCCGTTTGATACTTACTATGATATTGGTACCTCCTAACATTGAATTATAGGAAATCAACGCTTAGGCTAAAAACTGTTAAATACTGGTAATTTCATACGAGTCAACCTAATTCTGTTTAGAACTGTTTCTAACATACGATGTCAATATAGAGATCTGCTTTTCAGAGAAACAGCCATTTCTATTGAGTTTTAGTGTAATCCAGTTCATTCTTGTTTTATGGATAATGATTTCCTAAACAGCATTACATAGTAAGTGTGTTGTAGAAGTTGGGTCAAGGTATAATGAAAAGCTATGTCAGCACATTCTGTCTAGTGTTTCCTTCAGTGTCATACTGCAGGTCATGTCTCCAAGTCTTCTAGGCTGGGGTCAGTGTAGGTTTCTTTTCAAAGCCCAGATTTTGTCTCACTTACTGTGAAAGTCCTTCCCTAGCTTTACATTCTGTATGACCACTTCTTACTACTAAGAAGGCCGATGTACTACCTAGCACATTCTATTTTGTTTTCCTTTTAAAAAAGATGTATGTCCTGTCTTCACACTAGATAATTTCTTGAGGGCGTGGTTGGGCCACTTTCCTTCTCCGTCTCAGCTTTTCAGAGAGTGATTGGCACTCAGTGTATATTGGTAGAGTTAAAATAGTAAAATCGTTGTTGAAATTTTCCCTTTTCAAGATGGACTTTTTCTTAGCTCATCTAATATATGATTTATAGTCACATTATATAAAAGGTATTGCAAACTTGTAGTTTCATGTAACTGTATATGGTCCTCCGTCTCAATGTAGTCAACCTCAAGTGCATTCTTCCTGGCGTCACTGTGGCTTTCTCACCATCTCACCTGTCATGCTGAGGACGATACCTCTTCTCATTTCTCAGGGTTGTGGTTAAGTGCATATGAATTTATAGTTATGCAAGCACAAAAAATCATGCTACATATATGCACAGCATCTTGCAATTTAAAAAGTGCTTGTTTTTAGATAAAAGCATATTAAACAAGTTTTCAGTTGCTAAAGTCTAAATAATATCTGTGCCCCCCTTTTCATGCTAATCTGGTAGAGCAAAGGATTATGGAAAACAGATTCAGCAGGACATGTGTATGAAAGTTTTTAGTTAAATTAGACCCAAATTTTCTTTAAAGTTAATTAAAACAATAATTTCCCCTTTCATTCTCACAGTGCATTGTAGTGTTCAGAATGTCTTTTTCTCATTTCATATTTATAGTTATATAATGTGGATATGCCATATATTTTTGGCAACTAGAGAGTAGCAGACTTCTTGCTGCATATCAGATCTGTTTAAAATTGATAACTTTGCCTAGTTTAAAAAATATATTGTTTATATGAGAATCATATTTGGAAAATGAAAAAACTTTAACAAAGGAATTAGCCCAATGCTTATTATTTTTGATACTACTGCTCATAGTAATAGCACTGTATGAACATACTTCAAAGCTTCAGGGAATTTTTGAGTTTTCTCTTTTGATTAAACAGAAAAAAAAAAACTTACATAGAACACAACTGTGTAAAAATGATAAAAGCTGAGCTGATCTGTCTGAAGCTGGAAGAGCGTCCCAAAGACCATGTCAATGGTGGGGCATCTTCTCTGCATCTCAGAGAAGCTGTGGGCTCCTCATCAGAGTCAAAAAAATCTCTTTAGGGGCCGGCTATGTGGCTGAGTGGATAAGTTTGCGCGCTCTGCTGCGGCGGCCCAGGGTTCAGATCCTGGGCATGGACATGGCGCTGCTCGTCAGGCCACGTTGAGGCAGCGTCCCACATCCCACAACTAGAAGGACCTGCAACTAAGATACACAACTGTGTACAGGGGGGGTTTGGGGAGATAAAGCAGAAAAAAAAAAAAAGAAAGATTGGCAACAGTTGTTAGCCCAGGTGCCAATCTTTAAGAAAAGAAAAAAAAAGGAAAATTGGCAACAGTTGTTAGCCCAGGTGCCAATCTTTAAAAAAAAAAAATCTCTTTATACATAGAGCTCTTTTACTTGTGCAGTAAACCATTGACTTTTTCAGATTTAGTGTTAGTAATATTGTTGATGCCTGAGTGATGAGACGTAATTTCGTTGGAAATTCTGGTTTGAATCAGACATGCTCAGTGGCCATTGAGTCAGAGCTCTTAACTTAGCTGCTGATAGAACCCAGCCTTCAAATCTCAGTACAGCTTTATTTTACTCTGCTCTCTGCTTGTCATAGGTATCTAATGCCTCTGAAGAAGTTACTAAAAGCAAAACAGTTTAATCAAGTGGATCCAGCTGTTGGAATTGAAGATGAAAATAAACAAAGAATGAAAAAAATCTAAGAATGTAATCTTTCTTAGCTAGAAATACCAGGTTGGGATAAATTAAAATCTGGAATGTGAGGTTCTGGTTCTCAAGTTTGGTGGTAAATTCACAGATGTTCATTATATTATTGAATGAATAAATAAAAAAAGATAGGATCACAAAGGGACCAACGATAACCAAAGATTATTTCTGGCCCAGTTTTGTCCCTTGAGGACTATGTGGTTTTGTGCCTTGAGGTCTCTGATTTCCCGCATTCAGATGACCCATGTCATATACTTGATGTGAAACAAAGAAAAGGTGGTTTTTAAAGCTGTTACTTAGTCCTCTGTCTAGTACAAAAAGTACAGCCTTCAGTGAAGGGAACAACTTTATTGAATGCTGAAGAGATGGCTCTCTTATTGGTAATATTATGAATGGAAAACGTCCAACTTCCAACAAAAATGTCATGTGTTAGAAAATCATTGGTTCTTGAAAACTATCTGAAATAACAGTGGTGAACTGTTAACGTATATGGCTGTTTAACTCACTTTTATTATGAGAAAAGTTTGATTTGGAAATTTTAGGAGGTGTTTTTTTTTTTTTTTGCCTAATGTAAAGTTGGCAGTGGAGGGAGCCTCAGTTGACCATGCCCTAGAGAAGTATTTTCATCAGAGTGAAGAGGTTCTTGGAGGAGTAGAGTTATGAAGCTGACACCTGTTCCTCACAGATGGAGAAGATGCCTTTACAGATAGATGTGTTTCGGGAAGAAACACTCACTCCAGGGTTTCGGGCAGCTGAGGACTGACCTCAGCTGTTAGGAGTCCTGCTCAGGCTCCAGGAGTGTCTGAGACAGAAGTCTGGATGAGCTCTATCCTAGGAATGGAGATGTTTTCATCCAAAGATGAAAGTTGTGACTTTCAAACAGAAGTATCTTTCTGGGGGCTGGCCCCATGGCTAAGTGGTTAAATTTGCACACTCAGCATTGGTGGCCGGGGATTCAGCAGTACGGATCCTGGGCCGCAGATCTACACACCACTCATCAGGCTGTGCTGGAGCAGCATCCCACACAGAAGAACAAGAAGGACTTACAACTAGGATATACAACTGGGGCTTTGGGGAGAAAGCCAAAAGAAAAGAAGAAGATTGGCAAGAGGTGTTAGCTCAGGGCCAGTCTTTCTCACTAAAAAAGAAAAGAAAAGAAAAGATATAGCTTTCTTCTCAAATACCCTGTTTTAAATGACTGTGCTCTGCTTTATAGTCATTTTTCTCATAGTTACCACCACTCGTTTCATCTGCCTTTTCTGCTGACTTTGATGCTGAGGCCCCACTGGAATGTTCAAAGAACATTGTTGGATTGTTCTAACCTGGCTTCCTCTTGCTGTCTCCTGCGTTGTGTCATTGTCTTCACACATGACTTCTAGTGGACTCTGTCGTTCATCATTGTTTTGGCTGTAGAGACTTAGGTTGATGTTAATACAGTAATGATGTTCTGAAATAGAGTTTATTTTTTTCCTTTATTGTAAGAATTCATAGCTTTATTAATGATTTTAGACTATATTTATAGAATCACTAAGATTCTTAAAGGATCACTTAACTAAAAAAAAAAAAAAAACTTTTCCACCTTGTATGAGGGCAGGTATATTCTATAGGGCTTTCTAAAGGTCTCAGTTCATATGCCTTGCAAATGTCAGCAGCTTACTATATTTAATTTGCCCTAATACCAGGTAGCTTATTGCAGAATAATATAGGATTTTTGATTTTCAGGGGAACCTTTACATTTCATAGGTATGAAAACAGTTTTAGGGAGATTTTCCCTAGATCATCTAGTTATTCGAAAGTTTGGCAATTAAAAAATGGTCTTTGTCTACAAATTTTGACTTTCATTGCATCCTTCTTTGGTAAAAAGAACTATGATTCCACAGTCCTTTGGTAAAGCTGTGCTCTTTCTTGGGTGATCTTTTGATAGCATTGCATATAATGCTTCATAACTTCTCAGTGCTGTTAATCTTAGTAATTGGTGGTAATTATGTACAATTTAATATATGTATGAAAGATAAATCCTCCCTGTTTTTAAGGTGCTTATAGATGAAATAGATTATATAAAAGATAAAAATGTGTTTGTATAAATGAACAAGAAATGTTTGTTTCTAATCTGAAGCATATTGCTGTAAAACTTTTGTAGTGATGCAGCTTATAGAAATTACAGATTTCTGTTTTTTTCTTTCAATGAGGGCATCATTATTGTTATCATTTGTTGGGATATAAAGTATAAAACAAGATTTTCCTTGAGAACATTATACAATGAAAAAATATATTGACTGAACAAAGATGAAATATTTTTCACCTAGCATGGAGAAATATATAGGAGTGCATTTTAGACTATGGGGCTGACTGCAAAATAAACTTGCATATGTAACATAAATTTGAAGCCA